ATATTCCCTCTTATTTTCTGTGAATATGACAGCCACCATTCTCCTATGAATTGGACTAATGTAGATACCTCATAAAAGTGGAATGCAGTGCTTGCTTTGGTAGCACATACACTAAAATAGGAATGATACAGAAATTAACATGGCCCGAAATGTCACGAAAATTTGTGAGGTGATGCAGTTAAAAAAAAAAAAAAAGTGGAGGCCAGGTGCCAGTGACTCCCACTTGTAAAAATAAATAAAAAGTGGAATAATACAATATTTGTCCTTTTGTGACTGGCTTATTTCATTTAGCATAATGTCAAGGTTCATCTATGTTGTTGTAGCATGTGCTAGAATTTATTTAATTTTGGTGGGATTGGGGTTTGAACTCAGGGCTTTAAGCTTCAGTCCTACCTCCAGTGTATTTTGCTCTGGTTATTTTGGAGATGGGGTCTCCAGAACTATTTGCACGTGCCTGGCCTTGAATCATGATCCTCTGGCTCTCAGCCTCCCAGTAGCTAGGATCATAGGTGTGAGCCACCACAGCCCCACTTTCTCTCTTTTTTCTTTCTTTTTTTTTTTTGCAGTACTGAGGCTTGAAGTCAGGGCCTACACCTTGAGCCACTCCACCAACCCTTTTTTGTAATGTTTTTTTCAAGACAGCATCTTGCAGAACTATTTGCCTAGGCTGGCTCTGAACCATGACCCTCCTGATCTCTGCCTCCTGTGTAGCTAGGATTATAGGTGTGAGCCACTGGTGCCCAGCTTCTCTCTCTCTGGTACTGGGGTTTGAACTCAGGGTCTCCAACTTGAGCCACTTTATCAGGCCTTTTTGTGATATGTTTTTTTGAGGCAAGTTCTTGAGAATTATTTGCCCTGGCTGACTTTGAATTGCAGGCCTCCTGATCTCTGCCTCTTGAATAGCTAGAATTATATTCAGGAGTGACTGGAGCTTGGTTCTCCTTCCTTTTCAAGACTGAAAAATATTCCATTGTGCATGTATGCATTTTATCCGTTCATCTGTTGGACATTTGGGTTTCTTCCACCTTTTGGCTATTGTGAATGTTGCTGCTATGAACATGGATGTATAAATATTTGAATTCCTGCTTTTAGTTCCTTTAAGTATATACTTGGAAGAATTGCTGGATTATATTACTATTTTTAATGTTTTGAGGAACTGCTATATTATATTCCTTGTCAGCTATACTACTTTACATTCCTGCCAATAGCACAGAAGGGTCCCATTTTCTTCACATCTTCAACACTTGTTAGTTTTTTGGTAGTCACCCTAAAGGATGAGGTGATGTATCACTATGGTTTTCATTTGCATTTCCCTATAATGATTAGTGATGTTACCTTTTTATGTACTTATTTTCCACTTTTTTTTTACCAAAAAAAACCAAACAAACCAAACAAAAAAAGAGGCTGGATTGAAGGTACACACAGCCTATAGCCTCCTTTTATGTATGTCTGAATTATTTCCCAATTTAAAACCCAACTTTTAGAGCCAGGTATGGTGGCACATGCTTCAAATTCCAGCACACAGGAGGCTGAGGGCAGGAGGGTTGCAAGTGTGAAGCCAGTCTGGGCTACACAGAAAGAATCCTGTCTCAAAAACAGAACAAACCAATGGTAAAAGCATGGAGGGAGTGGTAAGACTGTAGCTAACTAACCTTTTCCTTCAGAAATCTTAAGGGTTAGGTTAGTGGCTCAAGTGGTAAAGCACCTGCCTAGCAAGTTTGAGTTCAAACCCCAGTACCGGCAAAAATAAAGAAAAAATCCTGTGGGTCATTTAGCAAATAACTTGTGCCAATAATTTCACATAAATTCTTTGCAAATACTTAACAATCCTATGCATATTTTGGGAGTTAATTAGGTCTAAGTTTATAGATGAAGTCAGAATAGTTACTTAATAGATCATTGGCAAATGATCAAGCCTTCCTGTTTTTACTTTTTTGGCGCTGGGGATTGAACCCTGGGCCTCATGTATGCTAAGCATGCACTTTATGACTTAACTATACCCCTAGTCATGCTTTTTAGTTAGAACTGGAAAGGAGCAATTCTTCTTTCAAAAGGTTTATTATTTCTTTGGTGATACTGGGGTTTGAACTCAGGGCCTCATGTTTGCTAGGCAGGTGCTCTACCGCTTGAAACACTCTGTCAGCCTCTCAAAAGCTTTGCTTAACTTGAGAACTAAAATTATTGTAATTTTGTTGAAGTTAGTTCCATTCCAAATGTGATGGAAGAAAAGACTGAGAGAAAGTTAACTGATGTAGCAAGTTCCTTGAGGTGGGACAGGGTTGGCGGCATAAATAGACTTACTCTTTAAAAAAAGTAACTGAGCCTGGCATGGTGGTGTGTACCTGTAATCTGATACACAGGAGGCCATGGTAAGAGGATTGTGGTCTGAGGCTGGACTAGGCAAAAGCATAAGACCTTACCAGAAAAACAAAACTAAAGCAAAAAGGGCTTGGGGGTGTGGCTCAACTGGTAAAAGCACAAAGGTCTAAGTTCAAACCCCAGCACTGCCAAAATGTAACCAAGAACTAGGGATATGGTTTAAAGGCAGGGTGCTTGCTTACCACGTGAGGCCCTGGGTTTGGTCTCTAGTACCCAAAACAGGAGGAAAAGTAATAAAGGGGCTGGACATGGGGAAGAATGCCTATAACCCCAGCATTCAGGAGGCAGAGGCAGGATTCCCAGTTCTCAAAAAGAAAACAAAGGCTGGTGGCTCATGTCTGTAATCTTAGCTACTTAGGAGGCAGAGCCCAGGAGGACTGTGGTTCAAAGCCAGCCTGGGCAAAAAGTTCACAAGACCCTATCTCAGAAAAACCCTTCACAAAAAAGGGGTGGAAGAGTGGCTCAAGGTGTAGGATAGGCCCCAAGTTCAAGCCCCAGTACAGCAAACAAACAAAAAATAGGGCTGGTAGAATGGCTTGTCATAGAACGCCTGCTTGGCAAGGGTGAGTTGCCCTGTGTTCAAACCCCAGTATCACCAAAAACAACCCCCCCAAAGTAACCAAGAATTGGCAGTTTGTTAATGCTTTGAAGAGATCAGAGAGTATTAGAAGTTAATATCCCTAAATTTCTTCCTGAAATAATTACTTAAGATTTGGCTAGTAGAGACCCTATCTCTACCCTGATGACTGATTTATGGAATGATCTAAAACTGTTCTCCCCAAGTGAAACCAGAGAGCAAGTAAGCATTCTTAGTTATCCTTCACTTATCAAAACAGCCTGCTTTCAAGTTGTGGGAACGAAAAGTCCCTCCTCTTTGAGGAAGTCATAATCTCTTCAGTCTTCAGCTATTGTTCATGTCTGTTACAATAATCCAACCCCTCTTCCAATTCAAAGACTGAATTAAGACAGCCTAAACCTCCTACTTCTAAAATCCTCCCGTAGTGTTAATTTAGCTTATTCCAATTTGAATATTCTTTCTAGGTGTATTTTATCATTTACTCATTTTTTTTTTTTTTTGTTAGTACTGGGGTTTGAACTTGGCCTCACACTTTCAAGGCAGGTACTCTACCACTTGAGCTGTCCCAACAGCCATTTTGTGTTGAGTATTTTCAACAGGGTCTCAAGAACTATTTGCTAGGGCTGGCTTGTCTGTTACAATAATCCAACCCCTCTTCCAATTCAAAGACTGAATTAAGACAGCCTAAACCTCCTACTTCTAAAATCCTCCCGTAGTGTTAATTTAGCTTATTCCAATTTGAATATTCTTTCTAGGTGTATTTTATCATTTACTCATTTTTTTTTTTTTTGTTAGTACTGGGGTTTGAACTTGGCCTCACACTTTCGAGGCAGGTACTCTACCACTTGAGCTGTCCCAACAGCCATTTTGTGTTGAGTATTTTCAACAGGGTCTCAAGAACTATTTGCTAGGGCTGGCTTCAAACTATGATCCTCCTGAGCAGCTAGGGTTATAGGCATAAACCACTGGCGCTCGGCCACTTACTCATTTTTAGCCCCATTTTCCAATGATCCAAACTTGCTTTACTTTTCTTGGAATTCCCATAATTCTATTTACCATAAGCTAGCTAATTATTCTTGGTCCAGTTTGCCTTCCACTTAGCACGATTATGGCTACCCTAATCATAATTTACTTTGTAGATAGTGCATGTCAGTGTTTGTACTATTGCCCAAATCCTTCCCTTCACAAGGCAGGCTTTTTATCTTCCATGAAGTACAGTCTTTTCATCTACATTCATCTCCATTCTGTACACCAAACCCTCACATGTCATGATACCCATGAGAACTCCTCAAGGGATTAGACAAGCCTCATTATTTTAAAGAAAGATTGTATAAATGACTCAAGAAAGCCCAGGCACCAGTGGCTCATGCCTATAACCACAGCAACTAAGGAGGCAGAGATCAGAGATCAGGATCAAAGTTGGAAGCCAGCCTGGGCATATAGTTTGAGAGACCCTATCTTGAAAACATCCATCCCACACACACAAAAAAAGGGCTGGTGGAATGGCTCAAGGTGTAGGCCCTGAGTTCAAGCCCCAGTACTGGTGGTGGGTGTGTGTGTGTGTGCAATAAAAGGGTGGGTGGGGGGTTTACATACTAGTAACTCATTGTAAGATGAAAATGTAATCAGAATCTCTAATGTTTTAGCACATGAGAAACTGGAAATGAGAAATTTTATAGTTGTCCTCTCTGAAGACAAGGCCCCTACAGCCTAATATAATAATTTCTTAAGTGGGGAATCTGAGGCACTAAATCTTTTCAAATGAAGGTGGTTTTGCCTGGTGCTGGTGGCTCATGTCTGTAATCCTAGCTACTCAGGAGGCACAGATCAGGAGGATCACAGTTCAAAGCCAGTCCTGGGCAAATTGTCTGAGACCCTATCTTGAAAATACTCATCACAAACAAGGTCTGATGGAATGGCTCAAGTGGTAAGAGCATAGCAAATGTAAGGCAAAGTTCAAACCTCAGTGCCCCAATTGTTAAAAATAAATAAATAAAACTAGAGCCACCAGTTTATTTTGGAAAGAGATCAAGCACCCACTGAGTTCATCCAACAAGAAGCCATAACTTTATTAATGATAGAAACAGTACAAATTTCAAACCAAACCAATCTGCAGTTACCCTCTTAAAATACCAGAAAAAAAAAATTCCTGGCTTTCAAATGGTTACATTGTTAATTCCTGTAAGAGAAAAAAAGGTAATTAGAAGTAGTTACAGGTAAAGTAAGAGACTTCAGGTCATTAAACCTAAGGCTACTCAGAGTAGGCTTTGGAATGAGGCTTCCTAACTGGCTGATATAAAACAGAGAAAATAAAGCCACTCATAATTGGTCAGGGCAGAGGAAGCTTAGGTATGGTGGCTCATCCCTGTAATCCCAGCACTTGGAAGGTGGACAAAAGAGGATTCCAAATTCAATGCCATCTTGGGCTACATAAGGAGTTTCAGGTCAGTCTGGGTTAAGACCCTCTCTCAAAAGGAAAACAACCCCAAAACAAAAAGACTGAACACTTACCATAATAGCATTTACAATATCATTACTGTTATTCTTCAGAGCTCGGACTGCCTTTGCTCTTGACACATTTGCTTGTGACATGACCAATTCTATGTCCTTAACTTCCACACCTGTTTTCATCAACCTACAAGAGAGAAAAAAACAAAGAAGTCAACAACAACAACCCCCTCCCAAACCTTAATAAAGAATAACTTCCATAGTTCTTTGGAGCCAGAATCTCGTAGTTCATATAAGCCCAAATCACATAACTGGGTTGAGTACCTACAATAATAACCTACCAACACAAGTATATTGTTATACAGAAAGGATTAAAAGCACAAGAAGATTTCCTGGAATACCTCTTCCTCTTCACTCTCCTCTTGTACAGTTGGAGTCTGTGTGTTTTCTTGAATGTTTGAGACAGCTTCACCTTGAACTTTGAATTTCTCAGCAGCTGCTAACTGTGCTTGCTGAGATAAATCCTCAATCTACAGAACAAAAAATATACAGATTCATATGAGTAGATTAATTTGCAGTAAATGAAGAGAAATTATGTGTACTTTTTCAAAACACTCTAAATCCATGTCAGGTATCTTACTACATGGCTGTTAACCACTACAAAGCTACTAATCACTGTGGAATGTAGCTTAGGTTCTCAACTTGGGATGATTAAGCCCCCCAGGGGACATTTGGTAATGTCTACAGAGTTCTCTGGTTATCACAACTGGGTAAGAAGCTGCTCAACATCTATAATGCACAGGACAACCCTTCTACAACAAAATGTCTATAGTGCTGGTCTGGAGCAACTCCCAAGAAAACTTTACTCACCTTGGCTTCCCCAAAAACTATGTAGGTATCTGAAGCTGGGCTCTTGTAGACATCTGGTTTTGTGATGACAAAGAGGATATTTTTAGATTTCCGGATAGTGACTCTAGTAACCCCTGTAACCTGTCGAAGACCCAATTTGGACATAGCCTAAAGAATGGAAGAGAATATCAAATTTTTAACTTCAGAAAGCAGGTAACACAATAACCCAAGAGTTCCACTACAGGTGTCCTACTCTAAAATTGTTCACCAGAACCTTCAATCTTTGTTTACAATCTTACCTTCCGTGCCTTCTTTTCACTCCGACTCTGTTTTGCTTTACTGACTGGTTCTTCATCGATTTCAGCTGCCGCCGCCAGCTAAAACAAAACAGCTGTGAGTTAAATGTAACCTAACATCTGGATACCACAATCTCCATGTGTGTTTCGTTTTTTTTTTTTTTTTAATAAAAATTCACATTTCCATAGGCTTGCAGAGTGGCTCAAGTGGTAGAGTGCCTGCCTAGCAAGCATGAAGGGTCCTGAGCTCAAACCCCAGTACCACCCCCCCCAAATCCACAGTTCCAAATATAAAAGACAAAAGCCAGATTTGATCAACTTTGCTTCTCTAGTGCTTGCTTTTGAGACATGGTCTCGCTATTGTAGCCCAGGCTAGCCTTGAATTTGTAATACTCCCGCCTCAGCCTCCCAAATGCTGGGATACAGGCATGCACTACCACACCCATTGTTTCTAGTGCTTCCTTGACGCAAGCATTTACACCAGTAAGAGAATGCCTACCTGGGCTTGCTGTGTGGTTGCTTGTGTGGAATCTTGTTCCTCGAGCTCTGGTACTGACTCATCACTGTCAGATTCTGTTCCAGACCCTAAGATGACAGACAACTTTTACTATTTTTTATAGTAGATATTTTAAGGAGGAGGTACTTCACCATGGTCTGCCTGCAGTGCAGATCACTGCTTTATGCTAGGCCTTACAAAGTTAAAATGTAAACCAACTTGCTTGTGTGAAGCCAGCTTGACAGCCCCTAACTTAGTTACAAAACCAGGTACGTAGACATTAAAGACACCCTGAGATAATCAGCAGATCTAGCCAAACAGTTTATGTATGTTTATGCCTTTTTTCCCTTAAGGTCTTCATTTCTTGGCCCAACACCAAGCACCCATCTAATCCCAAATTTTACTCTATAGTCGAACCATCCCAGAAAAGTTCTGGCAAAAGGTTATCTCCAGATACAATTAAGTGAAAAAAACCAAAACAATAAAATCACATTGTGGAGGCAGAACACACAGGGTCCTTTCCTCGTCCTTTAAACTGTGTTTGATGAGGCCAGCAGTTTGTGCACACACATTTGGCCTTACTTTCAAAACATTCACCCTAGCAATTTTATCTAATCACATCACTGGAAGATCCTCAATAATGTCAAGTTCTAATAGTTACCTTTTACTACTAGATACTATCCTGTGACTTCCCCCATTTCTTCCCAAACATAATCCACCCATTTTAAGTTTCCCTCAATTGAAAGGCCAAGCATCAATAAAGACTACTGAGGTGAGGAAAGGAAGAAAGAAAGAAAAAAAAAAAGCATATACCCACACCATTCTTAGACTAGGAAAAATAGGTCTCTACAATTTTAAGAAAAGGGAGTTCCTGGGCAACTGGTTATTTTTAAGTCTACATGTAAAAAGAAACACAAGTATCTCCAGATCCCCCAATATTTTAGTAAATTCCAGGCCCAGGGACAAGGTTAGTGATGTGGTAAGGATTAGAGCAAACTAAAGATTTGGTAGATCTTGGCTTTCAAAGTCAGATCAGTTAGGTAAAAAGAATAGCAGATTCAGGCCTAGTCTGGACCATATTACACAAGACACAAATCTGAGGTAATGAAAACCAAGATTTAATTTCGTATTTCTACAGTTTTTCGATTTAAAGTTATTCTATATACTACATCCAAAATCAAGCAGATATAGTGGAGAAAGCGGCGCATCCTATGGTTAGTATTGGTGGGTAGCCCCAAGAGGGGTATATGGGCGACACACCATGCACACAGCAAACCAAGGCAAATACCCTTGTTGTTCTTCAGAACAGGCTGCTTGGCAGAAGGGGTTGGGGCGGGGATCCCAGCAGGTTTTGGGGTGGGCATGTTGACGAGGACCGGCTGGAAAGGCACTCCCCCAGAGATTGGTTCCGGGGGAATCAGAGGCGGCAGTTCATCCTCATCAGCAGGGGCTGGGGACTTAGAGGGCAATTCCAGCACCAGCCCAGGTGAGGATGGAAGAAATGGCTGTTTAGGAAGCAGAGGAGGAACTAGGGAAGGAGCAAGAGGCAAGGAGACTTGTGGGGTGGGTCCTGAAGTGACAGAGGCTGATCCAGCTTTAGGAAGGACTTTCTCAGGGGCAACTGCTGCTAGAGGGGTAGATGTCTTAGATTCAGGAGAAGCAGCCAAGGGACCCTTTGGAGAACGCAAAGAATCTTTGCCTTTTGTAGAACTAACAGAAAGGGTTTTTGTAGTCTTTGAAGAGTCTTTTTGAATGGGAACTGTCAGTAGAGGGGCAGGGGCCACTGTAGAAAGGGGTCCTTTAGTATCATTTTTAGCAGAGGCATCTGAGCATGTAGGAGGTGAATCAGAATTCTTCTTGGCTTCTGGGCCTTTCTCAGTGGGAGCAGTGAGGACTGGTGCACTTACTGCACCTGAGGCAGTAAGTATTTCTCTGAGAGCTGCAGGGTCTTTCTTTGCAGGAGCCCTTCAGATGTCTGAGGGGCAGTGGCACCCATGGTACCAGTGACTGACACTGGGGAAGTAGGGGATCCTTTAGGGGAGGGAGGAGCAATGGCTGTGGGAATGGTGGGCTCTTTAAGGGATGGAGCCTCTTTGTGAAAGGAAATAGTGTCAACACGGGGAGCAGAGGCCCCTTTGGAGACTGGGGCCTTTTTAGGAGAGGGTGGAGTGATGTCTGGGGGAGCAGGAACTCCTTTGGCAGTGGAGATTTCTGGGGCCTCTTTGGGCACTGTGGTCTTTTTGGGGGAACTGGAAGTTTCAGCTAGGGCAGTAGGGGCACCTTTGGGGGATGGGGTTACTGAAGCTTCTTTAGGGGCTGCAGTTGTTCGAGCCTTTTTGGTGGATGGGGTTGCTGAGGCCCTTTTAGGGGAGGGAGGAGTCATAGCTGAAACAGTGTGGGCCCCTTTGGGAGATGGGGTTGCTGAAGCTTCTTTGGGGGCAGTAGCTGCTGGGGCCTTTTGGGGGGAGGAAGAAGTCTCAGCTAGGGGAATGGGGTCTTTTGGGGGTACTACAGTGGCTTGTGTCTTTTTGGGGGAGGGAGAAATCTCAGCTGGGGAAATCAGGCCCTTTTTGGGAGATGGGGCTGCTGGGGCCTTTTTAGGAGAGGGAAGAATCTCAGCTGAGGTGTTGGGGGCCTCTTTGGGAGATGGGATTGCTGGAGCCCCATCTCTGGAGGTCACAGTGGTTGGGGCCTTTTTAGGAGATGGAGCAGTCTCAGACGGGGGGATCGGGGCTTCTTTGGGGGCTGCCATAGCCTTTTTTAGGGCTGCAGTTGCTGAGGCCTTTTTGGGAGATGGGACCTTTTTAGAAGAGGGAGGAGTCTCAGCTGGAGTGTTGGGGGCTTCTTTGGGGGCTGCAGTGACTAAGGCCTTTTTGGGAGGTGGGTTTATTGGGGCCTCTTTGGGGGCTGCTAGAGCCTTTTTAGGAGAAGGGGGAGTCTCAGTTGGGGGGATGGGAGCCTCTTTGGGGGCTGCAGTGGCTAGAGCCTTTTTGGGAGGTGGGGTTGCTGGGGTCTTTTTGGGGGCTGCAGTGGCTTGGGCCTTTTTGGGAGGTGGGGTTGCTGGGGCCTCTATGGGGGCTGCAGTGGTTGGGATTTTTTTGGAGGTTGCTGAAGCCTTTTTAGGACAGCGAGGAGTCTCAGCTGGTGGGATGGGAGCCTCTTTGGGGGCTACAGTGTCTGAGGCCTTCTTAGGGAAGGGAGGAGTCTCAGCTGAGGGGATGGGGGCTTCTTTGGGGGCTGTACTGGCTGAGGCCTTTTTAGGAGGTGGGGCTGCTGGGACCCTTTTGGGAGCAGCTGGAGCCTTTTTAGGAGATGGAGGAGTCTCAGCTGGGGGGATGAGAATCTCTTTGGGGGCTGCAGTGTCTAGGGCTTTTTGGGGAGATGGTGTTGCTGGAGCCTCTGTGGGGGCTGCAGTGGCTGGGGCCTTTTTGGGAGGTGGGGTTTTTGGGACCTCTTTGGTGGCTGCAGCCTTTTTGGGAGGTGGAGTTTCTGGAGCCTCTTTGGAGGCTGCAGTGGCTGGGGACTTTTTGGGAGCTGGGTTTTTTAGGACCTCTTTGGGGGCTGCAGTAACTGGGGCCTTTATCGGAGGTGGGGTTGCTGGGGCTTCTTTGGAGGCTGCAGTGGGTGAGGCCTCTTTGGGAGATGGGGTTTTGGGGGCCTTTTTGGGAGATGGAGTTTCTGCAGCCTTTTTGGGGGAGGTAGGAATCTCAGCTGGGGCAGTGGAAGCACCTTTGTGGGATGAGTTTATTGAGTCCCCTTTGGGAGCTGAAGTTTTCAGGACCTTTTGGGGGGAGGTAGGAGTCTCAGCTGTTGGTGTCGGGGCTCCTTTGGGAGGTGGGGTTGCCGGGGCCTTTTGAGAGGAAGTAAAAGTCTCTGATGGGGCAGTAAGGACCCCTTTGAGAAAGGGAGGAGTCACAGCTGGAGAAATGGGGGCAAGAGTTGGTATCTTTTTGGGGGAGAGGGGAATCAAAGCTGAGGGAGTGGGTATGTCTTTGGGGGGTTGAGTTGCTCCTTCTGGAGAGGGAGGAGTCACAGTTGAAGGAGTAGAGTCTCCTTTGGGGGATGGAGAAGTGGGAGAATGCTTCTTGTTTAGTGAGCCTTTAGGGCCTGGAAAGGAAAGACTGGCCTCAGGAAGGAAGGAGGTTTTAAGTGGAGAAAGAGAAGAGACATTTCCATCAGGAACAGCAGAACCCATCTTGGTTGGAGGTATTTGGGTTTGAGGGGTCACACCAGTCCCTAAAGGAGATGGGGAGCCATCTAGGAAGGCCAGAGTTCCTTTGGAAGCTATAGTAACCGAAGAGTCATTTGGGCACACTTCAGTAGAGGAAGTCAAAGGTACCAATGCTGCCCTATGAGAAGTATCAACTTCCTTTGCACCTGAAGGAGAAGCTGCAACTGGTGGAAGAGCTGGAAAGGGAACAGACCTGGGTATTTCAGGGGATAGTGCCAAGGTAGCCACAGAAACAGAACCATTTTGGGAGGATAAAGTCACAGCTACAGGGCAACTTTCAGAGGCTGGAGGAACCAATGGTGAAGTAACAGTGGAAGTACCTTTAGCTGGATGGTTTTTAGGAGCTAAAGAGACAGCTCCTTTTAGAAAAGGGCTTGCTGTACATGTAGAAGTGGAGGTAACTTCAGCAGTTTTAGAAGCCACCCTTGAAGGATCGACACTTTCTAAAGGAAATGTAGCTACTGTTGGGGCAGTGATAGAACTTTTGAGAAGCAGGCCAGCAGGGTCTGGGCTAGCATAAGGATCTGTCTTGCCTATAGAAGTTGGGGAGTTAACACCTAAAGAAGCAGCAGTAGCACTGGCTAGCCTACCTACAGGGAAAGGCCCTACAAGGCTTTTCTTTCCTAGAGTGGCTTCAGGAGTTATCTCCAGAGAAGATGATGCACTTTCCACAGAGGGAGAACTTTTAGGGGCTGCAATGGCCAAAGGTAGTAGAGTAGAGTCTTTCCTGGTAGGGAGTCCTACCTGGGTTGAAGAAACAGGGGTTCCTACATTTACCAATACTGAAGTGGGGAGATTTTTGAGGTCTTCATGGGCTGGCAGAAGAGAGACTGGTGTCCCCAGGGTAGTTGCTACCTGAGGAGTAGGAAGCTCATTGTGAGTCACAGGTGTTATAACCAAAGCAGTTGGGGAAGTTGGTTCTTTACTAATAAATCCCGGTGAACTGGGAGGAGACACACAAGTAACTACCTCAAAAGTTGCAGGTGCTACAGAAATTGTAGAGGGATTAATCACAAGTGGAGTGGTTACCACGGGAGAGACAGGAGTGTCTTTTAAACCTGTTCCCAGAGAAGCAGGAATCTGGGTTACTAAAGGTTGATGATGACAGGTATTAGGAGAGCCTTTGAGAATGACAGAGGCTGTAGGAGATAATGAAGTAGTAGTTACATTTGAAAAGCCAGAAGGGCTGCAGGAGGTTGTACTAGTGGTGATAGAATGTTCTTTGTCAACAGAGTGAGCCACAGTAGAAGCAGGAGTCCCCAGTGGAAGAGCAGTCACAGCATCAGCAACCAACTCATTTCTGGAAGGAATGGGAGGAATTACAGACCTCTGAGATGGATAAGAGGCACCCAGGGAAGAGTGATCTATAGAAACGGAATGTGACAGAGCATTAGGACCTGTCTGACCTGATGGTTGGGTAGAAGAATCCAAAGAACTTTGATGTAAAGATGCAAGATGAGAGCCTGGAGAAGTGGGGGAACCTGGAAAGACGTTGGGAGCCATGGTTTTTTGAGGTGAACTAATAGGGCCCTTCAGGCTTTGTGGGGCCAGAACTGAGGAAATGGGGATAGCTTTGACTTGAGAAGTGATGGTTGTGGGAGTCATGGGTAGTGTCTGAGGACAGGAGGTCAATCCAGATTGAACAGTGGCCAAGGGAGCAACAAGGTAGGAAGGAGTGGTACTAACTATACCTGGAGAACTTGGAGTAGTAACTTTGGGAAAGGGAACTTGAATAGGAGAGGTCTTTGGTTCTGAGGGAACAATGGGAGCTGACAGAGGTGTCACTGATCCTGAGTCAGCTACAGCAACCGATGGAGTTGAGCTAAGAGGGTTAGGTGGAAAAGCTGAACTCTTCTGAACTGAGTGGGGAGCCAATGCAACCAGAGATAAGGGGGCTGAAGGGGAATGGGCATCTTTCAGAGCTGGACCTATCATGGGAGAGGCCAGAGCTAAGGCAGCTGGGGATATGGGAGGTCCTATTAGGTGTGGCAGGAAAGTTGGGGTGCTAGGGGCAGTTTCCAAAGGCATGTTTGTTCCAGAGGGTGGCTGGGGAAAAGGAACTTCAAAAGGGGTCGTGGCAATAGTAGGTGAAGAAGGGAATGGGGAAGACTGGTTAGCAGCTGATAAAGGACATTGTTGGGGGAGCAGGGAGCAAGGAGGGGGAAGGGTAGGTCCAGGCTGCCCTAAGGCAGCAGTGACAGTCAAGGCTGAAGACATAGGGAGCACAGCTGGAGGAGAAAAGCAAAAGGAGATAAAGGGAAAGAAGGAAAAAAAAAAAAAAAAAAGGAAAAAAAAAAAAGTGAGTTGTGCAGCCCAACTTGGTATAACATGCCTCACAGGAAACGACGGGAGTTTTAAATCTGAGAATGAAGGTCACCATACAGGATTAGACAAAGGTGGCAAGCAACACGAACTTTCCCTAAACACATTTTAATGGTCAAGTTCAGAGTTCTTCTAATCTCCCACACTTCCCAAGTTTGACCAAATTATTTTAAAGTACGGAAAACAGTCTAACAGCAGCTCAGCTCTAAATGGAAGAACATGCCCAGGAGTGGACTAGAAACAACATGCTCTTTACCTTTACCTAGTTGTGTCTTTCTCTCCTGAAGTGGACCCTATTCCCAAGTCTTTTCTCACAGCCAACAGAATTAGCAGCTGTTCAGCTGTGGTACCCTGTCTACTCAAAGGATTATGAACTGAAACAGATATTGAAAACTGGAACAAGAATGACAGTGAACAGTGAAAGTGATGGGAGAATCTGAGCTGAATGAGAAAAACAGGTTTTTATAATCTCAGGCTAGGCCAGGAAAAATTTAACTCTGTTAAAGTCAAAACTCCCCAGAATCTCATACTAAGTATTAAATATTAAGTCCTGTAGCCTCCTTAATGCCTCAGTTTACTCAGCAAAACCAGAAAGAAAACAAAAAACCCTACTACAAAAAGGCTGGACTCACACTCGGTACCTTTTGTAATGTTAGCTATAGACATTAGTCCAAAATGAATTACACCAAGGAGAGAGCTTAGTTGCAAGGGAGGAACTACATTATGAAACTCTAACCCAACTTGTTAAACCACACTGTCGTTCTATTTTGGAAGGAGAAAATTAGAGTGAAGAGAATATACCAGATCTCTACCCCTTAATCTGGATGTTTTGTTCTGTCAAAGTAGACAGTATTTGGCACTACAGAAAAACTAGAGATAACATTAGATTAGATAAACAAATGCTGAAGGGAGTGTTAGAAAAAAAAGCAAAGTAAAACCCATGGCACCCAAATTCACAATCTACCCAGTTAATTCTGAAGTTCTTACAGTATTGACTACAGAAAAGAGAGGTGGCAAAACTAGTTTTTCTTGGAGAACTGGTAAGTTAAAGCATAATTACAGTGCAAATACTAACATATTAACCAGAACTTAAAACACAGAATGTTTCCTTATTAGTGGACCTACAGATGGGATAGGGTCCCAATTACTTGCTTTGACACCCACCATAACCAAATTCCCTGCTAGCGTCTTCATTTAATTGTTTTTTTTTTTGATGGTACTGAACTCAAGGGTTCATGCTTACTAGGCAGACACTCTACCAGTTGAGTCACTCCACCACCCGTTTTTGTATTGGGTAGTTTCCAGATAGGGCTGGGCCAGCTTCAAACTGTGATACTCCTGATCTGTTTCCTGAGTAGCTAGGATTACAGATATGAGCCACCACTGCCCAGCTGCATCTTCATTCATTCTAATAAGACTAATTATAGTTCCACAGAGTCCTGATATTCCCTTATTATAAACATTTTGTACAAGCTTAGACTAATTAGGAATGTTGAGTGGCACTGATTGCTTCAGAAGCAAATAACATTAGTTTTAAAGCTTGAAACTAGATTATTCTAAATTCACCTGAATTTGCCTCTATACTTGTAAAACTAAGCTCAATGACAGTCTCTAAATCTTGTTTATTATACCAAAATTACAGCCTAAGTACTTTATATTTTCTTCCTTCCTTAAGTTTCTTGCAGTTCAAGGATTTCCTATTGCTCATCCTTCAGCTCAGGCTCCCCCCTTTCTCTTTCCTAGCAGCTGTATTAATCCCTTCAGCTGCTAAAATCAGACAGGTGGAGAGGGAGAACTTTAATGCTTTCAACCATAAACAACTTTTAATTTCAAAAGGAGACAAAAATCGCCTTTGAGTGACAGGTGGTATATATATATAAATTTATCATTAACTACTCCTCTCAAGTCTTCTACTGAGATGTGCTTCAACCAGAATTCAAAACTTGCTTCACACTGTCATTTTATACCCATCAATTTCACACTGAAGATCAGTCAAAGGATCATTTTAATCTTGGATCCCATACAGTGGCTCCGGCACTACTGCAGCACACTAGAAATAACTCTGCACCAACCCCTAAAACAAGTTAACTGACCTAGGAGGACTCTGGAGCTCACTAGGACATATTTACCACCAGCACACATCTCATCCAGACATGTGATGAAGGCACAATGCCAAGCTCTGATATCTAAAACCTTGATGCAACTTGCTGGCTGAACTTCTCAAAAGCTCAGGTCTCCTTAGCCTGCCTGTGTGTCATCCAGTTCTGACAGGTAAGAATCACTGAATCCATTCCCTGCTGTTTTCCTACACAAAGCGGATGTTCCACATTAGAGCTTCTTTTGAGGTAGCTGACATAACTCACAAGGCAGGCTAAGGAACTTTTCATGTTCACAAATCAAAGATACTATTTTTATTCCATCTCCTAAATAAGTGCCTCCAGGATAGCAGTTAACTTTATGCTTTCTCCTTCCTAGAACCCCATTTTTTTTTTAAAGTAATGGCGCACTCTAAAAGGCAGAAATGTATTTCCTCTTTGTCATTTTATCCGCCACATGGCCTTAGGGTCAATCCTAATTCCTAATTAACAGCAAGGGGGCTATGGGAACCTACCTGTCTCAGCCTGGGGCTGTGGCAACTCCTGCTCTGTAGCAGGGACGGTTTCTGTGGCTTCACCGGGCATTTCTGAAGGAAGGGAATAAAAAGGAGGCCTGAATTGACTGGCATGGATTCACCTGCCCAACCCAGAGTCAAGTATTCTTAAGAACTCTGCGGAAGGCTGTTAAAACAAGTCAGGAGCGTCTAGGGGACAACCTCCCCAAAATGGCTGGGAGTAAGGTGGGAAACATGTCGTAACTATCAGATCTCTTTATCAAGCGGGATCACCTTCCTCCCTCTGCAGAGCAGCATTCCCAGTGCCCAGGATTCGCTGTATCCCACACTCCTGACCCCACAATGCCAGCAGTCACTACTGCGCCCTCAGCCCAAAGGAGAGGATGCCATCTGGCCCGCTTCCCTCCTAACACTCAGTGCCTAGGCTGGGATCCTCCGGACCCTCTTCCGACGACTTCCGAGAGTCAGGAGAAGGTGCCTTAAGTCCCAGCACTCCCTTATCACAGCTAAGGCTGTAACCCCTTAACCTCAGAATTCCTGAGGTCGTTCCCAACAAAGGACGCACTCAGTTTTTGTCCCCAACACTGCAATGGCTCTCATGTCCCCATCCCGAAATTCCGGGTTCGTCTCGCGGCCCTCATGCCCTGCTTTATTAGGACACCAACCGCAAACCCCATTTTGTTCAGAGACCTAGGGGCAAGCAAGAACCCTGTGGCCCCACAAAGCCTCCAACTCTCCTTAACTCTAAATCCCCGGGGCGGCTCAGCCTGTCAGAAAAGGGGATGGCTATGGATAGAGTAGCGGCGCGGACGGAACTTACTGTGCGGAAAACGCGGAACCAAGATGGCGGCAGAAAGAGAGCTAGCGAGAGCGTGACCCACGCCTGTTGTAGAAGGAAGCCTGGTGCGGAGGAGGCGGGACTAAGATCTAATTCCGGGTCAGGAGCTGCCGGCCAACACTTCCTTTAACAAGAGGCCGATCCGGCCGTTCCCAGGGTGGGGGAGGTGACGAAGTCTAAATAAGGGTAAGAATTCTTAACAGGACGCGCAGACCTGGCAATTCTCCATGCCTAGGACAGCCCTCTCCTTCCTTGCTGTCGTAGGTTTGACATCCGAAGGGAGCGGTCTGAGAAGCGAGCTCCGCCTACTCGTCGACGTTTAAGGCAACGCCTAGATTTCCCCTTCGCAAACGCAGGAAAATGAGTAGTAGCGAATGCAGCCTGGCGTGGTAGTTCATGCTTGAAGTGCCAGCACTCGGGAGGCTGAGGCAGTAGGATCATGAGTTTGAATCCAACCTGGGCTACAATGAGACCTTGGCTTTAAAAAAAAAAAAAAAGTCAGCGTTTGTAGTTACATCATTAGAGAGTAATGATGTAGGTGAACCCCCCCAATTATTTTCTTTTAATTTAGGACGCTGTTGAAATTATGCTTGGTTCTTCTCCCCCCGAAAGAATATAGGCACATGTACATTTCTTTTTTGCCTATTTTGGGCACTTCTTAGATATTTTAGAACCCATACCTTACCTACATTCCTAGCTACTTAGGAAGCAGAGATCAGGAGGATCAGGGTTCCAGGCCGGCCCAGGCAAGTAGTTCGGAAGACCCTATCTTGAAAATGCCCCGCACGAAAATAGGCTGCTCGAGTGGTAGAGAGCCTGCTTAGCAAGCATGAGGCCCTGAGTTCAAACCCCACTACTGCAAAAAGAAAACAAACAACCCACCCCCATACTTTGTATAGGATTTTTGAAAAGTACAATGTTAAGACCAATGGTTTGTTAATGAAAAGGCTACTTACTCCCACACCAGCTCTCAGGTCTACAAAAGGAACCAGTAAGTATGAACCTGGATTTACCTAAACCAGTTAACACTTATTTGGTCTACAGGCTGGCTTTATTGGAAGCAGTGAAAATCTAAAATGCTCCGAAAGCTACTTTAAAATCTGATTTTTACCACACTGCAGTGAGGATTAGAATTAGTGATTCAGGATTAAATGGGATAGTGGAATTTAAAGGGAATGGGAAATAATGAAATTACCCTCAGATAGGAGAGGCATATTGTAGAGTGATTAAGCATGGACTGGCTGCTCATGCCTGTAATCCTAGCTACTCAGGAGATCAGGAAGATCACAGTTCGAAGCCAACCCGGGGCAAATAGTTGGAGAGACCCTATCTTGAAAAAACCCATCACAAAAAAGGCTGGCAGAGTGGTTCAAGGTGAAGGCTCTGAGTTCAAACCCAACAGCTCCCCCAACAACAACAAAAAAAATGAAGACTCTGAAGTCAGTGTACTTTGTTTGAATCTCATCTGGGTCAATAGGTAATTTGATCTATTTTTGCCTGTTTCTTCATTAACAGATTACTTCATAGGATTGTAATAAATTAGATAATATATGCACGTTAAAGTGTTGATTATAAAAATTGAAAATTGCTGGGTGCTGGTGGCTCACCCTGTAATTCTAGCTACTCAGGAGGCAGAGAGCAGGAGGATTGAGGTTAGAAGCCAGCCTGGGGAAATAGTCTGGGAGACCCTATCTTGAAAAACCCATCACAAAAAAGGGTGGTGGAGTGGCTCAAGGTGTAGGCCCTGAGTTCAAGCCCCAGTACTACACACACACACACAAAGTAAATAAACTGGGTGCAAGTGGCCAAGGCCTGTAATCGTTGTTGAGGCTGGGGCAGGAGCATCCAGACTTGGAGGCCAGTTTGGGCAACATAGAGTCCCTCTGTCAAAAAAAAAAAAAAAAAGACTCAAGAGGTTCAACTATTTTCTACTTAATAGCTGGTTTGGAAGATTTTCAATGTAGTTCATTTGCCGTCAGTAAAAAGGGAAAATAGCCAAGCATCTCCTTAAACAAAACTACATTTTTTTTTGGTAGTACTGGCATTTGAACTCAGGTCTTCACATTTGAAAGGCAGGTGCTCTACCACTTGAGTGACTCTGCCAGACCCTTCCTCCTTAAACTCCCCTCCTTTTTTTTTTTCAGTGCTAGGGATTGAACCCAGGCCTTGTGCATTCTGTTGCTCAATCATTGAGCTACACTGCCAGCTCTCAAAAGTACATATTGCCCCTTCCACTTTCTTCTTCAGCAAGCCCATGGACTTTTTCTAACTGATATAAGATTAGTCTAGGAATTATGTACTTTCTTTTTCTTTGAATTTCCTTATAAATTGGCAAGGTTGGAGATAGAAGCTATTTTTGTGTCCTTTATATCTTTACTTCATCAATGGTTTTGCAAATTAGAGGAAAGGGAAATTGGTAGTCTAATGTTTCTGTCCTTTTCACGAACCAAACTTGATTTTTTTTTAATGAGCACAATATGTTCTGTAATTAATCTTATGGGCTAATATACTAGCTTTTACCAAGGACTTTAATGTTAAAGCATTAAAATACCTTAGTGCTATATATATTTATAAAACCATGATGAAAGCTTAAAATGCTTCTTGTTGAAAGCACACCAGTCTTCCCACTCTCATTCTGATTCTTATGATGGTCTAATGAGTCTTGCATTTCTGTATTCAGGAGTTATAATTAACCCACTGTTTTTAGAACCTGAAGACTGGCCAGGTGGGGTGATGCTTGACTGTAATTCCAGCATACTCTCAAGGATGAGGCAGAAGGATTGTGAGTTTGAGACCAGTGTGGGCTATTACAGAGAGATCCTGTCTCAAAAAACAAAACAACACTCTAGACTGAATATAGTACACAGCTCAAATAATGAGGAATTTTGAAAAATAGCCTTTAATATTTTTTTCTTAAAAGGTAGGAAGAAGAAATGAAAAAACATTTCAGTGTGTTGACTGCATTGTAGTCTGTTTTATACAAACCAAAAGATGAAGAACAAGACTGTGACTGTGGAGAAAATGTTAAAGGGAAGGCAAAAGAAGGAAAGTTCTCAGGAAATCACAGAAAGAAACCAGACTGACAGCTTGCTTCTCAGTATTTCTCAGAAGACAGAATATAAACTAGAAACAACTGTTTTGTTTAGATAGGTTGTAAAACCAGGCAAGAGAAATCTGACCCTTTATCATCTATCACACACAAAAAAATGAAAGAAATAAAACCTTTAAAATTTATGTACCTAGATATACAAAAAAATCCAAGTGTTTTTAACAAGTACAATAGATTTTTATATTGGTGAAGTTGGCTATTTTTTCTAAGCTACTTCTTTACAGCAGAACTGCTGTAATCCAAATGCTCTCTAAGGGAAAACATTAGCAGCTACAATTGGAATAGTTCTAAAAAAAAAAAATTCTCATAGTGTTTACCTAGTAACATATCTTTTAAAGTTTTGGTAGGTTAGATGCTCAGCTAAAAATAATTTTAAAAAGATGGCCAGTGGGCTGTATCCTGACCAATAAATATCAGTAAACTCACCTATAATCCTGTTTCCTTGAGAAACAAAGATTGAAAAGACTGCAGTTTGAGGTCAGCATGGGCAAAAAGTTCAGAAGACCCCCTCTCAACCAATAAAAATCTGGACATAGTGGTACATGCCTGTCATCCCAGCTATGCAGGAAGCATAAACAGAAGGATCATGGTCCAGGCTGGCCAGAGCATAAAAGCAAGACCCTATCTGAAAAATAGCAAAAGCAAAAAGGATCAGGTGTGGCTCAAGTGGTAAGAGTAAGAGTACCTGCTTGGCAAACACAAGGCCCTGGGAACTACCAAAGAAAAAAAAAGAAAGCAAAACTGGGAAGTGGTTGAATATGCATTTCTTGTATAACTAACTTAAGTACTTATGACTTAAGGACAAAGCCATCATTTATTCAGAAATGAAGTTATAGCCAATGAGTTTAAATGAAAGTCTTGGCTATATTACTGCTCACTTACCTCTATACATGGCAACTGGTAGAACTGAGTGTTTACATCAGAAACCTTAGAATTATCTTTAATAGTAAATTTTACAAAATTATCTGAAATTTACTTATTCCTTGCTTTATTGCTTCTTTTAGGAACCTTGTCACCCTGTTGATAGTTTCAGGAACTCTTTTCATTGTGAATTATTTCTCAACAAAAGTAAATTCTGACCAGGCACAGTGGCTCAAATCTATAATCTATAATTCTAGTCACTTTGGAGGCAGAGATCCAGAGGACTGCAGTTTCAGGCCAGACCAGGTAAAAAGTTTGGAAGATCATATCCCAACCAATGGCCAGGCAGGGTGGCATGTGCCTATCATCTGACCTATGTGGGAACGCACAAATAGGAGGGTCACAGTCTAGGACAAACCCAGGCATCAAGGAAGACTCTATCTCAAAATAACCAATGCAAAAAAAAAAAAAAAAAAAAACCAATGCAAAAAGGGCTGGCAGAGTGGCTCAAGTGGTAAAGTACCTGCTTAGCAAGTGCAAAACCTGGAGTTCAACCTCTACTACCACCAGAAAAAAAAGGAAATTTTGCTTTAAGCATTAAGACACATAGATGGTTTTGCCATATTTATTAAATGGCTCCTGAAGTATCTGATTCTTGCTTGAAGGCAGAAGCTATCCACATTGGTTTGACTGAAGTTATCTTCAGAAATCTTTTTCTAAATCTAAAACAGAACAGATTTTTATCAAAAAAAGAAAACAAAGCACATTTATTTTCACATTCTGATTTGCTTAATGCTTCCATTAAATTCACATCATGCATAAAGAGTTGTTTTCACATTTGCTGAAGCCCACATTATAGACTGAGCCAGTACAGAAAAAGAACACAAAGGACTTAATATGGCCAGTAGGAATGGCAGCATCAGTGTGGCTTTTCAAGTTCAGAGTCATCACTATTCATTTGATAAACATGTATTTGAGTGTCTACTATGAGTAAGACATTATCTCAGGTACTACTTTAACCAATACACATTCAATTAAAAGGTGAAGTGAGAAAGGGTTTGTATTTCTGTAACCTTGCCATAATTTTCTAGGGTACTCATCAATTTCTTGAATAATCCTTTGAACCTCCTCC